AAAAAGCACGCATGTCAAAATCAAAATTCGACATTAATGGAATTATAATGATTGAGTGGTTTCCCAATGGTTAGACTGTTAACTAATACTATTACATTGAACTACTAAAAAGACTTCGTGAAAAAATTAGGAAAAAGAGGCCACAGTTGTGAAGCGATGGATGGCTGTTGCACCGGATAATGCACCCGCTCACTCGGCACTGTCTGCCAAGCAGTTTCTGAGCAGTAAAAATGTTACTTTGATGGGGCATCCTCCTTATTCACCTGATTTGGCTCCATGCGACTTTTTCTTATTTCCTAAAGTTAAATTTTGCTTAGTAGGAACCCATTTCACCTCAGTTAAAGAGGTTCAGGCAGAAACGGAGAATCTCCTGAAGGGACTTCCAAAAACCTCGTTCCAGAACTGTTACCAGCACTGGCAGCACCGAATGCAAAAGTATGTGAATGCTGAAGGGGACTACTTTGAAGGTGATAATGTCACGGAGAACTGATTCTGCAGGTCCAATGATTTATTGGACTAGTCTCGTTACTTTTGTGTCACACCTCGTATTGTGCGCGCCGCTTATAAGCGGCACTCGAAGCGAAAGGGTTAACGTGTTGATCGTCAACTACCAATATGTTAATTACAAACTTTATGCGTGCATTGGTAAAAATACTCCCATGTCATCACAAGAATTGATAAAATGTTTTTTTTATTGATATAAATATAATATTTTTTTATCGATTTTTACCATTGTTATCGTAGTTCTTTATTTTGGTTGGTAACATTCTCGTTCCAGTTTTACCAATTATTTGAATTCAAACGAAAAGGCGTCAAAAATCACCTTTTGATCGAAATAGATGTACACAAAGTCGAGGTTGAAATAGTGTTAATAAAACATTATAATAAATTTCCAACTTAGCAGTACATCGCTACTTTTAATTGCAGATACAGTACCAATTGGTACGAAACGTCGGTAGCAACGCAGAAATTATTGCAACTGATCATATTGAATAGCCACAAAAGTGGTTTCGTGTTTAACTTTCTATGCGTCTATGTTCCATCAATGGAAGGTTTTGCTGTGGTACGTACAATATCCTATTACGATCCTCTAAAAACAATATTCTGTATTGAATTCTCATTTTTCAGCTTTTGAAGGTGTCGCTATCTTATTTTACAGTTCTCCTGTCAATTCAATAAATCTCCCGGTTGCATGGGTAAAATGCAATAAATGTTCAGTATACTGAGAACATTGATATGAATATGTTATTCTTTTATTTTATAGTGTGGTAGTATTCTTTATTTTGACCCCCAATTTACGATGTTCACTGCATAGTTATTAAAGATTAGTTAACAAATTTTATTAACCAAGTCAACTCCTCTCCTTTCCCAATTAAGCCTGTTTAATTTCAGTATTGGTATTATAATTGTAATGTAATATAAATTCGTGAACTTACATCACCGTTATCGACCATCCTAATATTCCACTCGGAACACTTGTCTGCGTTTGAATGAATGCTCTGCCTTCGAAGGACGTACGTTGACTAAGAACAAATCGAACAGTATCCTCCCTCGTAAGCTCGTACTGTATAGGAACATAAAAATTTAAAATTGCTCAGAACAATTTCTTCTCTCACCTTTTCTTTAATCCTATAATTTTCTTAATGACACTATTATAACACCACGTTACAACTGCCGACTGCGTTACTTGCACCCTACCATCCTATAAATAAGTAATTCCACACACGTGCAACCTGTCAATCACTCTGTTGCATGGAAAGAATTTTTCTGATATTTTCCCTGAAAATCTTTCGAAGAGGTAATATTTGCGGAAGGGTGAAATGAAATGGAGAGTAGATAGGTAACTCTGAGATCAGTAGTGTTTGGGCCATTGAAGGAAGTAGCAGAAATGAATAGCGATTACAAGTGGTGCATGTTCTTTACATCTGTGATAGGACTTTGGCCGTACACAGGCAAGAAACTTCGACTCTTGCAAAATGGTATCGTCAGTCTCGTTTTTTCCATGTTTACAACCGCTCAGGTGTGGGTAATCAAGTTTGTTTTAAGAACTATTAATACATTAATGAAAGTTTTATGCATGCTTTAACATTTTTGAAAGATCACTTAAGGACCTACGGTATTCATAGTTTTTAGCTTTCTTCACTACAGAGAGAAATCTGTTTAGTATGCTACGATTAGTATCGTTTATGGCGTTGACCATGGTTGCATGTACAAGATACCACATAGCCGTGTATCAGACTAATGATGTACGATCAATATTAAAACTGAAATTATGTTAACGGAACATCTGTCTAAATATTATTGTAAAATACAGGTAAAAGGATTTTTAGATCAAATTAGACTTGATTGGAGGACGAGTAATGAAGAGATACTTCAAATCATGCAAATGCACGCTTCTGATGGAAAACGTTTAGTAATAATTTTTGCAGGTGAGAAAAATCTTGAATAGTTTGAAATTTCGAAAGTAATTCAGTAAATTCGTAATACGTTTTGCAGCCTTTGTTTACCCATCAGGATGCATGATAATGCTGTATCATATTTCTCCTATTATTTTGGACATAATTTTACCGTTGAATGAATCTCGCCCAGTAATGTTTCCAGTAGAAACGGACTTTTTGCTTGACGAAGAACAACACCCAATTCTTAACAATTTCCTTATATATTTCTCACTAATAATCGGCGTAACCATATTGGTTGGAACGGAATCACTAATGATTATGATCAGCGCGCATATCGCTGGTTTATATGGAGTTGCTAGGTAAAACGAAGTCTTAATTAAATCATATATATTATTCATAAAATGTACGTCCTATATACATCGAATAAAGTAAATGAAATATTTGAAACGTGAGGTGATTGATTTTATTGCGTCAATCGTTCGTTTTTTAATATGTTGTATTTGATTGACTTTTTTAATCATCGTAAGAATTGGACGCCGTTTTGCATGCTATTCTGAATGCTATGGAATTATTCATTTCCTTATTTATATTTTAGTTGTTGCTCCATGTAACTAAGAGTACCAGATGTGGTGATTTCTTTGTTTACGGCTCTATATGTTTAGGAAAATTAATTTTGTACTGTATTATCTACATCGTGTGTCTGATAATGCTCGAATTTATTGTTTTTAGTCATTACTTCCAAAAAGCCGTACTTGTGGAGACGTCTGCGCCTTGTTGCCGAAGAGATTGTTCAAATAAAAAAAGTATGCCTTACATAGTTAATGGTGTTGCTGTACACCAAATGACACACCAGTAAGTATTTTCCTTTTATATATGTATTAAGCTATTCCGGCCTACGCTAATTTAAATAGTGTTTAAACCAGTAATTCTCAGCAGTTTCTTCGCATTAACACTTATGTAAAGAGGCAATGTAGAGCATGCAGTGCAATCATAATACAAATAATTGCTCATAAGTAATTTAGAAAACGATTAAGCAATGAATATGAATAAAATTTTCTCGTGTTTCATTAGTTTTGCACTCGTCGTATCATTTTAATCGCGTGTCACTGTGTTCTTGCTAGTTACACTTTACATTGCTCTTATTGCATAAAAAATGCAAATATTTGAAAGAAAAATTATTGATTGTTATTAAATTATTAGTAAAATTAGTATATTCATTCCTTTATATTTATTTTAGAATTTCGTAGTTACTACATGATACAGCCGTATATGAATATACTATTATTATTAATATTATTAATAAATTATGTCTGTAATTATTTGTATTTTGGTTATGCCAAACTCTTTGTGAAGAATGTTCAAGTATTGAGATCCAATCGGCTGCATAATTGTAGATCCGCCTTATAATATCATCAATATCGACGGTACTTTGCATAAAGCATAAGGAGGTCCCACCATGATCTCTAGTTTAAACCACGCGTTTTCTATATTCATCGCAAAATTTTAATTAATTGAATACGTATATTTTTTAAGATTTGCACGTGACGTAAACAACCGGTGCAATATATCATACGTTCCGACCATCATGTTTGGTGTGATTGCCCTAAGCATTCATTTGTTTTGCGTGAGTACATCGCATTGTACCACTTTATACCAGTTGGCATGCATATAATTTTTTTTCAAATACGTCCATAATAAGGATTTAAAAATTGTTTTGTTTGTTAAAGCTATCTCAAACGGTACTACAGGCAGTAGATATCAGAGAAACACTCTTATCCTTGTTACTGATCACTTCTACATTGGGATACATGTTTTGGATGAACCTTGCAGTTGAACACATAATCGAGACTGCTGAGAGCATTTCATTACGAACGTAATGTATTGGAATGTTATTTGCACAATATCTTTGCAGCTACTTTTTATCGTGTTCGTCGTCAAGTACTCACATATCAATTACACGCGACTTTAAATTTGCATTGAACAAAATATCTACAGGTCATCACAGTAATAGATAATGTGTTTTTCAATAATACTGTATATGTTTTTTACGGTTCAACGTACTTAACGTGAACTCTCAAAATTTAAAAACAATTAAATGCTTATGACACTAAATATTCTTTATAATTCGGCAAACATCTTGTTATCGATTTTTACCTTTCATATCATATATACAGCAACCGTTTTGTCATTAGAAAAATATGAATCGAATGGACAGTCAAAGTAGGACACTTGCATTTCCTCAACGCACTTTCCCTTCATAAGAGAAATTTATTTAGGTCGAAGGGCCCTAAACAATAACCATGCTATCGGGGATGTTCTCACGACGAATTTGTCTCGATGAAGACATTCTTGTAGTGGCTTTGTCGTGAAAAGACAAAATCAATAAATCAAAGATATTCTAAACGCACCTAGAAGATTCATTCGATGAATCATTACAATTTAAATAAATTATTTCGATGTACTTAATGTTTGGAATTGCGAGCTTTTGATGATATTTGTACCGTATTATCATTTATCGTACTATGTTAAAGATGTAGACACATTATATTATTCGTCCTGAGATTTGACTTAAAATGTTAATAAGCCATTAACAGGAATTTCTTTCAAAAGACACTTTTCAATTAGCATCGTTCTTCGTTCAACTTAGAAATGCATCGTTGTCTATAATTGCAGGTACAATACCAATTGGTACGAAACGTCTATAGCAACCCAGAAATTACTGCAGCTGATTATACTGAATAGCAACAGAGGTTTCAAGTTCAACTTTATGAGCATCTTTGCTCCGTCAATCGAAGGTTTTGCTGTGGTATGTTTAATATCCTATTACGACCCTTGAAAGACAATGTACTTGATTGAATTTTCACTTTTCAGCTTTTAAAGTCATCGGTATCCTACTTCACTGCTCTGCTGTCTATGCAGTAAATTTTCTGATAGCTTGTCCATTGTATAACAATTAAAAATTGGTTTACAAATCACATTAACCAAGTTCACTCTCTGACTCACTTTCTCCCATTTCATAAACGAATCTCCTTATTTTAAGAGTTTGAAATACAAATATAATATAATACAACTTCGTGGACTTACATCACTGTTACAGACCATCTTATCATTCTACTCCAAATACTTGTCTTTCAACGGGTGCTCTACTTTCGGACGACGTAAAGCAACTGAGAGCAATCGATGAGTATCCTCCCTCGCAAGCTCGTACTGCATGGAAGTATAAATATTTTAAATTGCTCAGAAAACTTCCTTTTCTTCTCTTTTCTTTTACCCCATCATTTTCTTAATGATACTATTATACCACTACGTTACAAATGCCGCATGTGTTACTTGCACCACACATTCTATGAATAAATAATTCCACAATCGGGAAACGTGTCGATCACTGCGTTGCGTCGAAAAAATTTTTCTCTTATTTCGATTGAAAATGTTTGGCAGAGGAAATTTTTGCGGAAGGGTGAAGTGAAATGGAAGGTGCACTGATGCATCGTGTTCCGAAGCACTCGGAATATAATTAGCGTAATATTTATGGGTGTTTTGTCAAACCTTTACTCTTGCAATTTCAAACGGATCTTCAAGACCACATGGATGTCTCTACAGCTTGACATTCTTAACCATTGACAATAACCTTTTAACAGGCCAGGAAAGCACGTCTTTATAACGCCAATATATCTTTCCTTAAAGAAGTTTATGTCCATAGTCCTAAACTGTGCACCCTTGCTGTGTGCAGTGTTTACGAAAATCCTTGCGTACTCTGCGGACCAGGCACCCTGACTCGGTCATTCAGCAGTCTCGCAATGTGTCCCACTATTTAGTTCTTTTGAAGGACCCAAATCACTTAACTGTTTGGGTCACCTTATTAACGAAACGTTATTTACAACCCTGGACTGAAGGCTAAAATCTTACAATCCCATTCGTCGAACCATCTCACCAATCACTGTTTTTTACAAATAACAATCTGTCCGGATTGGTCCCTTTTGGCAACGCCTTCACGTCCTGAATTTCCTCCTGTGCTTTCTTTTCTGGCTGTTTAGAGACAACTAGTTAGTCTTAGATTAACT